TTTGGCCAACTCCACTTACACTTTTGGCTCTGTATCCTGAAAGTGAAAAGAGGCAACTGGGAAATTTTCTCACAGTATCCAAGTTCAGAATGAATCGGTGACATAGCAATGTCTTCTGCTCTTACCAAAATCTCTTGAGATGTTCTAAAAACGGACTTTAATTATTTCATGAAGGATTGCATCACTATACAAATTTCTCTAAAAATAGCCGTCTCAGAATTCTCAGAAGGAATCTTGGCCAGGGTGATTATAAATATTATGCAATCATTCAGCCAAGCCCACGTGGTGATCTTGTTTAATACTGTATTTCTGAAAGGTTTTTTTTAAGCCTACAACAAAGTTCTATGGCTCTCAAAATACAGCACTTGGTGTATGAATCAAAACAATCCCAGTGGTTGTTTTGCTGGGAGTGCATTACTATGCTTCCCATTTATTTAAACCACTAAACAATAAATATTTAACTGACAGATTACAGCTGCTAAAATGTATTTAACTCATCATACTTAAATATGCTCATTTCTTATGGGAAGGTGATCACATGTGTTCTCATTCCCTTAAAAAGGCAGTATATTTAATTTCTTTAAGATGCTTCTTTTTCTTTTTCAGTGTGAAGAATTGTGACAAACTACTTCAAAATCAAGGTCTTGGTCGTTTACAATCTGTTTGACATTTCCAAAGGCCAGAAAAATTAGAATAGAAAAATTGGAGAAAGGCATTCAACTGCATATTTGGTGCTAGGAGCATTATTAAATCATGAACTGTTTAAAAAAGAGAAAAAAATACCTTAAAATTTCAACTGAGACTTGTCAATGTGGAAAATATTGACATTTTATGACTCAAAAATAATTGATTAATTAAAAAGAAAAGGATGCCGGTGTCTTTTTGAATTGGGGGGGAGGAAGGGGTGCATTTGGGAAGTAAATACTTTGCCACCAAACCGAATCACAACGGACTTCACTGTTGTGTGGCAAACCACATTAAAAATAAAAAAATATAAAATAACATCCACTTTATGACATGGATACAATAGGATGAATATCCATGCCTAAGCAGGCAATACACTGTATTTGTTTTATCTGTGCCAGAATGGTGCCTGTTTAGACAATAGCCTGTTACTCCTAGATATTGAAAAGCTCTTGGTACTTCCTCTCATGGAATTTTTCATGCTCGTTGCCTGTGGCATAATGCTAATATTCTTCTGAAGCGACCTTAAGGAAGTTTTTGGAGAGGCAAGAAGCTTCCAGTTGAAATACAAAATGCACCAGGACGCTTCAGGAGTCTACCAGAGTGATTAGAGAAGTTTTTCACAGTGTAAGTCTGTGGTAAAAGCAGCTACATTTGCATTTAGGCAATTCAATCTCCGTGCAAGTCTGCAAAACATTACAGTACAGCGATAGAATCTGTTCTTCTGGCCTTAATCCAATAACAATAAAATGCTATGAGTAACCTCAATACTTTGGGTTACTCCACTGAGTTTCATAGAACTGACCTCCTGAACCTTTAAGACATGTACTACATATTGTGCCCTATCTCTTTAAATATGAAGCAGGCTTTTGATGTCTACAATGACCTCACGCAGTGGAAGTCACCACAGCTCTTGTACAGCATTCTGAGTAGCAGTAGATGAATTTGCAAACATTTTGATGTTCCAGCTAGGTAAGCACCTATAAATGTTATGACGTAGAACCATTAAAACTCCACAACCCCTTCCCTTAAATTGCAGCCCTCACTCGCCTCATCAGAGTTAAGTGAAAGAGCAATATTTGGCCCTCTCCTGCACATGGAAATATTAAGGAGGAGTATTCACATTTTTTTTGTACGACAAAAATTTTGACTCTAGGACATTTACTGTCAGCAGCAGGATTTTCCAGAGGAAGACTGTGACTTCCCTTCTTATGCCTCAACAAGGATATTCCTGGGCATTTCATGTATACAGTCAGAAATCCTGGATTCTGATTAATTCACATACATACCTCTCCTCCTGTCTCTCAAGAAACAGCCTTTGTAGCGCTCTCAAAAAAAGCCCTTTGTACTTACTTTCTCATATCAGCAGAGGACTTTCGAAGCTACAGTGATCCTACCTCAGACACTGAAGCCACCACTTCAATAGCAATAGCAAACCAGCATCCTAGGCTTGAAGCAGAATGTTGCACTTTTTAAAAATTGTTATTTTCTAAAATAACTACAAATGATTTCCCAATAGCTTGGCTACAGGATTTAAGACATAATCCGTATTAACTGCTGCTTTACACTGCAACAACTGCCCTTCTGTTTCGCAGGTCTAACACAATGGTGAAATGAAAGTCTGGTTCTGAAGAATAACACTTCTCAGCAAAATTTGGAGAACATTAGAAGTAGCACAGGAATTGTAATAGGAAGACAGATAACTAAGTGGAGTAAAACAACCTTCTGAAACATAGCAGAAAGTATTTTTACGTTTAATGAAGAAATCTAAAGTTGATGCACCTGTAATAGAAGCAATTTTGTAGCAACACAGAACAGATATAACAGTATTTTTTACGTTCAGGAGATGCTTTATTTTACGTACAGTATAGCACAGGAGTGGATTTGGGGGCCTAATGTTTAGCATTATCTAGTGAGTCATCTTCTAATATTTATAAGTATCTCTCATGATCACATTAGGCTGGAGAAATTGGCCTTTTTTTTCTTCTTTCTTTGAGCAGTAGAATAGCTGTAGAAATGGGGAATGGGACAAAAAGGCTATCAGAAAAAATTTGATGCTGCAGCTGATCGTTCACTGAAGTTCTAGTGAATCAGAAATAGATTAGGAGACAGCATCTCTCACAAAAACTGAGGAACAGGGTGGATATATCACACAGTGTGGAATCCATCACTTCCCCCCCCACCCAGTACAGCCATAGCAAGGAAGACTAGCGCTAACAAGACTTTGTGTTGGATGCACATGTGAAAGCTTTGGGGGTTGACAGTGGCTCTCCCCAAAGGGATTAAAGAAGTATAAATGATCTCTACAATCTCTACTATCAGATAATTCTTAAGTGTAATAAAGTGGTGACCTAGTTAAACCACATTCCTATTCCTGGTGTCTCTTCTTTTTGTGGTGTCTGAGATAACAGGGAGATTATTTAGGCATCAATTTAATCTAGTTAAATAGCTTTACTGAAGATCTTTATCACTATAAATAATGGAGGTATTTGAAGTATTTGGTTACAATTCTAACTGAAGTTATCCAAAACAATGCCTCTCTAGCAATCCTCTTCTGCTGTTCCTTTACTCTGTCTGAAGCAAGTTATGAATGTTTTGAACACTTTTCAGCAATAGCTTAAAGGTACAAAACCAAACAAAACTAAAATACAACAAAAAAAACCCAGTTTGCCCAAGTCTCTGATGAACTTTTTAAAAATATCCATGACGTATCACAGAACATGACTAAACGTTGTATTAATTTACTCTTCAGTAATGAAAGATAAAGGTGAAAACAACAAGGTATCTAAAAGAGGAAATAACTGCCTTCTCTTTTCTAAAGCAAACCAAAAGAAAAATCCCTAAAACTATTTGGAACGTAACATCATCTGCTCTGATGCAGCACAGTGGGATGAAGTACTAAAAAGCATAAAGCACGTCTGCCTATTTAGCACATAAAATTTGGGTGAAATGTCTCCTGGCCAGCTAATTGACCTGAGACATGAGTGCGGCATGGCTGGACCACAGGTACTTGGCTGGAATGTCTGTAATGAAGTCAACATCACAAGTGGATGATAAATTCATGCTTAGGGGCTGTCTCCTATTTTTATAGACCTGTGGGAAAAATCGATAATGATTACACGCGTGAGGTCAGAGCTATAGGGAATTTAGCATAGCAGCAAGGGCTTTCCTTAACTTTCTGTTATTGAGTGCATGGAGTTCTACAGCATGTAATGCATGATTCAGAATGAAGAATCACAACATTGACTATGCAGTATGTCCTAAACATTATTAGCCTGGCATGCTCATTTGTAAAGTGGCACAGTGCCCGACAGCAGAGTAGTTACTTGAACAGGCTAAGGAGATCAGAATGATTTTGCCGATGGGTTTTCTCCCCCTCAAACAATAATTACAGAATTCAGTAATGTCACACAAAGGAAACCATCAGATACACCACCTCCAGACATGGTCCAAAAACATATTTCTCATCTTTTTCACCTATTCTGAAAGGGGAAAGGTGTTTAGCAACACACATGACACACAGCACAGGTCTTTATTACCTAGGTTATCTGAACATCTTTTGTCCTCTTGCCTACAGTACCTCTTCTGGCTATGACTATTACCTTTTAAAAATCAGGGCGAGTAGCTACTGCAGAGTATGCAAAGTTTTAAACATTTTAATTAGACAGAGAAGAGATCTATGTACTATGTCTGGTACATTTGTACTGTGTTTAGTATGGTTATGTTCCTCATTAATAAAGCAGAACGTAAAATAAATTTGCTTCTGAGAAAATCTATTTCTAGAGTTTGTAACTAGGTGGGGTTTTTTTTTAAACCTCAAATGACTTACAGTGTTGAAGACTGGGTGATTTTTACTCATTTGAGAGTTTATTTTAAGGATAATCACAATTTCCAGATAACCTCTCAGAAAGCCTGAAACCTTCTGAAAACACAATTATTTAACAACAGATAAGCAAATAACTGAACAGAAAAAGTTAGAAAGAGTCAACTGAACAGACAGATCTGGCTTTATGGCAAAGAGCATCTGCTCTTCTCTGCCTCACATAATGAAGACAGCTGGAAGCTATATGAGGAGGGAAAAAAGAAAGCGTATTGGCTGCATATAATATGCGCCAAGCAAACATGCGGCTAAATACGTAACAACCATAAAGAAGCAATAAATACTCAACATTGCACACCTCCTACCTTTTGTAACTGCTGTCACATATCAGATCTGGCTTGAAGACTTTCAATATCAAGTTAGGATGAAATCATACAAATGCAAATAATGCCAATTTTCTGATTCCATGAAAGTATGAAAATGAATGTCTCCCCACCTGCTGTTTTAACTGATGTACTAATCTGTCCTTCTCTCGTTTAAGAGCCATTACTTCCTCTTGAGTCTTCTTCTTCTTTGAAGCAGACAGTTCAAGCAAGGCAATGTTTGCATCTTTTTCGCTAATTGCAGCAAGCAAAGCTTCCTGTCTGATAAAATAAAATAAAAATTGTTACATTCTCATTAAAACAGAACATATACTACTATATTATACTACATGAGATGTTTCTTTTAATCACTACGAGAACAATCCACTACCTTCTGAACACCCTTTAAACAGCAAACATTGTCAATTCTAATCAAATTATGAAATAAACTTTTTAGACCAAAAAGTTCTCTTTGTAGATTTCTCATTATTTAACTATTTCATAAAACATTTACCTTAGGCTATTTTACTACAATACAATATCTAACAAAATTTCTGTTAAATGTTTGCTTTTAAAAATCTTTGGTATTTATTTTTTTAAATTCACTTTTCTGAATTCTAGAAATGTCTTCAATAAATCTGTTGTGAATTATTCAAATCACACAGATTGAATAATAAAAAGCAAAGCAATACAGATAAACCACATTTTTATGCTATCCTGTTAATTTGGTACCCTGAAGACCTCAGTACAGAAATCTCTGGACATCTTCACATTTGCTTAAATCCTATGGATTTGTTATTATTCATTGTGTCACCACAAAACTATAATTCTAGAAGTAAAATATAATATCTAGAAAAGAAGTTCCTTGATCTAATTATTCATGAGGAATCTTTTTCTTCAGAATCTTGACCTCTCTATCTCCATAAAGCGAACAGAAACTTACAGCACTCAGAACATATAGAATTACATAGAAGCTAGCAGGGGCACATCATAAATAGTTTGTAAGGACCTACAATAAACATAATTTTTACAACACGCAGTTGGAAACACAGATCTTGCAGTATCTTATTATTTCTTACGCTCTAAAATGCGCACATTGACAAAGCCATAATCTGTCCCTTATTTTCCTAAATAAAAGAAATATATTCATCTTTTGCAATGCATTCAATGACAGACTATGACTTATCAGCCAAGAAAAAGCATATAATACTTCATAGCTTTTAGAACAGAATATGCTATGGCCTACACCTTTTTCCAGAACTATGTAAGATCAATCATTAAAAAATAAACATGAATAAATGAGTAATAAATTAACCTCAGGCTCCAACTGCTAATAAATGTAAGAATAAGGCTCATGAACTTCATACAGTCAAGGTGAGCTAGAAGTTTGAAATTCTCATAGTCCTTTGCTTGCCAGCAAAAATGTCAAGAAAGCTATTTCACTTTTATTTCAAAGTTCCTAATGTATTAATGTAAATATTTATAGGACAATATTTCTGATGGAGTCAAAGAAAAACAACCCATTTATTTTACTCTCAAAGTTGAGACATGGATCAATTTTAGATAAACAGTTGCATTTTATTCATACACTTAAATAGCCTCATTTATTATTCTGTCTTTTTCATTCTGATCACTGTTAAGTGATGTTTGAAAGAGGATGCCATAAGTCTCCCACAGTCTTAATTTAAATGAAAGCTATTAATTATTTTAAATAACAGGTATTAAAGAAAAAAATATCAGAGGGTCACATATCCATAATGCTAATTTGAAATGAGATATAGGTATATTGTTTTCTACAAACCTCATAATAATGCATAAAACTTGCTGCATAGTAATTTGCAAAAGACTGACAGAGTTCTCATGTGTTGTGCTCAAATACAGTATCAATTCCATAAGAAACAGAAGACAGCTGATTTGCTACTGTATTCAACAATTCCTCTCATCTTGCAGAAAGCAGAGAATTTATGCCCCATATAAAATCTAAATATGCCCTCTTTTGAGCATCCGGCTCAAACAGGAAGAAAAATGTAACGCAGTTTCAGCATTTTTTCGACAGTACCTTTTACAAACAAGTCTGTACTTTTCTGTTTTAGAAATGTGTCCTAACCCTAGAAGGTGGGGTTTTTTTCCAGGGGTAATAATATAAGCTTTCTGACAGAAAGTGTCAGCAATAGGTATTCTGTGACTTTAAAGCCAAAGAAACAGCATATTGCCTTATTACATAAAATACACTTCTTCTAAATTAAGGAAGATTAGGTTAGTTCCTCTACAGTTATCTGATACCATAATTATCAGTCTAATTATAAACTTATTTAATATCTGAAGATAAACATTGACATAACCATCACAAACCAAACACACTCAGAATGAAAATAGGTAAAGAAATCTCAGAAATTCCAAGGTTTATAATACATTTAGATTAATTCCCAAGTTCTGTAAGTTAACTTCATCCCAGCCAGACCCAATACGTCTGCTCATCTAATAGCAAATTTCATAGTAAATGCTTGCCATCTACAAGGTTTCTAATGACATCTACTGTTATTTAATTATGTGTAACACATATTACAGCTATAAAAAGCCACAAACAGAAGTTCCAAATTGACTGGTTAACTACATGAAGCTATACTGAAATTTCGCTTCTGCTCCAAAGTTTAGGTTATTTCACTGCCTCAGAATTCACCTTGGAAACACAAACCTGACTAGTGAGGAAGAGGAGTCAGAACTACTGAATTCTTTGGTATCTTCTCAACATTTGATAACGGGATTCACTGACATCTGTCTTTTTTGTATTGCCAGACAAAACTATCACACATTGCTGTGGTCCTAACTCTTCAACTGTGCAATACTCTCTAGTCTCACTTTCAAGCAGCAGACAAGGTAAAACCTTCCACAGGACAGGAAAGCCAGTCAACACGCTTTGAAAAATCTGCATTCTGGATTCTGCAGCCCCTAGCATGCTTTTTCTCAGGTGATGGTGTTCAGGGATGATGAAAGCCAACCAGAAGTTATGAGAATGTTTTTGCAAGGAAAAGCTAAGAGAATCTTCTTTCTCTATTGTCTCGTGGCTCACAGGATAATTCCATTCAGTATACCACTTCTCCTATCTGGGGGACATATGTAACCAAACACTTCATCCCAGGAAATAAAGATCCATAGTCATGTGAAATAGCTGCTATCATATGACTCCATAAGGGCTCCACTGAGACGCTCTAAGATTTGAATAAAACCCACAGCACATACACAAGTTTGAACTGGCCCCCCCAGATTATTGTCAATATATTTTTTTAATTCTTATCTTTGTAGTAAACCTAAGTGGAGCTGGGAGGCCTTAGACCTACGAAAGCTGAGAGATGACTGCACAAGAATACAAGGATGATGATTTCTACTGAAGTCCTTCCACAGCAATGGGGAATGGCGAATGCATCTATGGAGACGGGCAGCTGAATGCAAACTCACACTGCCAAGTACTCTTCAGGCTGCCCGAACGTGAGTCAGCTTCAGTTCAGAAGCTGTAAAGCCTCATTTATCTAAGAGACAAGGTGTTTTAGCTTGGGCACAGTGCCACACAACATGCTGACGGCTTCCAGACTGGAACTGGCCCACATATAGCCTACTCAGACTGTGGGCAGAGCAAGCTTGCATCTGTCTGCACCTGTCTGCACAGACATACTCGTGGAGTACGTCGGCGTATTATCTGCATCTATTATCATGGATAATCTGAACAGTAATAACCTCAAATATATAATCCAGTGGCATTTAAGCAGGCATCCGGGTTAACAACAGTTCAGCACAGCAGGACTGAATATTCTACCAAATGATACATGTTGGTTGCTCACATCCTTATTAACTAACTACTTCAAAAAAGATGGAAGACAGAGAGAGCCAACAGTTTTTTATTATTATTTCACAGAGTACAAAATAAAGATGCAGGTTGTGACAGGGCATCTAAAGAAACCAAAGCGGCCTCCTTTACTTCTGCATGACCTAGCATACTACCAGAGTTACAGTTCCTCCACTAAGTCCCTGGGAGATAGAAGTTGAAAAATAACTTTCCCGTGGTGGTAAGGCATCATAAGTGAAGAGATCCAAGCATTTGTGAAGCAGCCTGTAGGGACAGACCCAGAACTCTACATTATCATATCTCTTTTATTACATATCACACACTGGTTTACTCCTCTCTGTGAAAGTTGCTGTGCTACTCTGTCAACGTTCTTCACGTTTCATATGAAAGAACCAAACCTGTTTAACAGAAGCAATTTATTTTAGTTGCCCAGTCACCCTGCTAAAAATTTAGTATCACCATTTTTGCAGGAAACATTTGAAATGAGATCATCTGACCACTAGGAACAAGGCTAACATGCCAGCAAAACAGCTCACAATCATGACTTTCTCACTTACAAACATGAAGTAAACTTCATTCAAAAACGTAAACAGGTGGCAAGGTCTTCGTCTAAATCTCTCAGCTGAGTAAAACACTTCCACTTTGCTGCTAGAAACTGAAACCCATCTTGCCTTTTTGTGTAAGAATATTTGAAAATCAAGACCTGAACTGGCACCAAGAACAACATACAGTCTGATATACTGTCCAGCTAGCATGCTTGAGAGTGTAAGTGTAATTTATAATTCCTAATTATCTACTGTGTCAGGAAAAAAAATGACTATCCAAATACAGTTCTATAGAGATGTTATCACTATTTGCAGCCAAAATGTCTCCTTATTGTTTAATACATTATGGTAATAAAATACATTTTAAAATAATTTATTAGACCACTGAATTAAATTACATTCTTTAACAGTAATATTTATAAAGAGTAATCCTTTTCACTATTAGTAGTTTTTCCTCTCTTTTTTGGCAAACTAATCTGTTATACAAATAACAGGGTAGTACTTTTAACGCCAAGAAAAATCACTTTAACTGTACGTGGTAAAATTAGGTAAACTCTCAGATTAACAAAATACAAGTTTAATCTAATAGCATTTGCTCCACATTGGTAATTATTCTGTACATTTTTCCTTTGACATACATAAAGTAATTCATAGGATTCCCAATGTACATATCCTCCACTACAATAATGTTGCTCATTACAAGGAGGAGAGGGAGAACTTTTCCCTGGAAAAGCAAAACTCGTGAAATGAAGCATCTCCTCCCTGGCAAAGCCTGACTGCATTCTACTCCACAGCAACCTACTACCTCAAACTAGTCACCTTAATACAAAGACAGTGAATATACCAGTCTCTTGACGAGCACACTTGCAGTTGCGAGATCAGGGCTTACAGTACTA